ACTTCCTCCATCCCATCCTCCACCTTCCTTGCCAACACAGCATCAGGTCATACAATACCACCAACCTCAACCCATCTACAGAGCACGCTCTCGCTGTCGTGACCGCCACCCCATTTCTTCCACCTGGGACACTCCTTTTTTCGTCCGTAACAACCGCACCAACACCCTCTCTACATCACAGGCTCAACCACCCAGCCCACAACCACACCATCAGCCACTGGCCGCCTCCACCTCCACTGCTACTCTTGACTCTATGGAATCAGGGCCATCCACTACCGACTGGCGACCTTTTCAGGGCAACCGGTGATTCTCACCCAAGCCTCTTTCCAACATACATCTTTAGCCAAGCTGCTTTTGCATTTTGACAATCGCTTCAGGCCAGGAAAAAACGGCGCCGTCTCCGGTGTCACCAAAACCAGTTACTTTTCCACACTTTGGGTTTTCCTTGATTTCACTCTTGATTGTTGCGTACTCCGCAGCCATTTACTTCCAAACACCTGTGCTCTGACTTACGCCCACTTCACCGCCCACTTCCCGCGATGGACGAAGAAGCTCCTGATTGGACACGCTCCCCATCACCGGACTGGCCGGTCAAAGAGGATCCGTACCTCGAGCAGAAAGAAGAACCCAAAGAGGAACTCAAAGAGGAACCCTGCTCCCTCTCCGCTCCTGCCCCTTCTCCCCCCCACTACTCTCCAGCTTCAGCCACGAAGGTTTCCATCAGCGCACCGCCACCCAAGCAACCTCTACACCCATATTGTCGCACTGTTGACGAAGAGAAATTCTCCCCATCTTTGCTTCCGCAGATAGTTGCGACCGCTGGCACGACAAAAGGATCAACTGGGCTAGGGCCTCCAAGGCTGCAATGGCCGATTGCAAATCGCGCAAACCTTTTGTAAACCAAGCTGGTAAAGCAGCCCATTCTACTTCGCAGGAAAACCAGAAGATGTTGGACGGGTGGAGCTCTGCACCCTCTGGCAGGAACCAACCGCCCACACCAGCCCGGGTCCCTTCTGCATAGGCATCCGCTGCCGCCACAACGCCGGGTTTACCTTGCAGGCAAAGCTGTCCTGGAAACATCGTTCGATCATACGCAGGTACGGCCTCGTCCCAATTGGAAAGCTCTGCGACATAGATTCCAAGGCGCAAATGATGTGCTGACAGTGACAAGCAAAATCTTTGGTCTTCACTTTTACAGACGGTTATGACGTCTTTTGCGTGTAATACTCATGACGACGCCCAGGTTCACGCACACTACCTGCTTTCGTCTGAGCGATGAAAAAGAGCTTGGCTATAGAGTTTTACGTCGGCAGCGCGATGGGGTTTTACTTCGGCTAGTTGTGGCCGTACACACATGTCTGCGCAGTACCGCGTACATCCGCCGTGCACATTACTCTCCCACACCTCTCTCCCACCCCTCTGCTGTGTAATTCTGATATAATAATTCCTGACAAGACCATGTTGTAGAATCTATTGAGACTCTGACTGCTTTGCGCTTTAGAAACTTAAGATTCGTAAAGATTCATATGTGGGGTTATCCGGTCCTTTAATTCTTAGTTTCTTTCTTGCTATCTATCTATCTTTCTTTCTGTCTTTCTGTCTGTCTTTCTGTCTGTCTCTGTCTCTGTCTCTGTCTGTGTCTCTGTCTGTGTCTGTGTCTGTGTCTGTCTCTGTCTCTGTCTCTGTCTCTGTCACTCACTCGCTCACTCGCTCACTCGCTCACTCGCTCACTCGCTCACGCACTCACGCACTCACGCACTCACGCACTCACGCACTCTCGCACTCACGCACTCACGAACTCACGCACTCACGCACTCACGCGCTCACGCACGCACGCGCGCACGCGCGCACGCTCGCACGCTCGCACGCTCGCACGCTCGCACGCACGCACTCGCTTGCTCGCTCGCTCGCTCGCTCACTCGCTCACTCCCTCACTCACTCACTCACTCCCTCACTCCTGCCTCACTCACTCCTGCCTCACTCACTCCTGCCTCACTCACTCCTTCCTCACTCACTCCTTCCTCACTCACTCCTTCCTCACTCACTCCTTCCTCACTCACTCCTTCCTCACTCACTCACTCACTCACTCACTCACTCACTCGTTGAGACAGTGTGGGGCCTACGTGGCCACATCTTGAGGCTATCTTGGCCCATCTACGGGCTATGTTTCCCATATCTGGGACCGATGTAGGGTCATCTTGCGGCTATGCGTGCCATATCAGAGACCTATGCAAGGTAATCTAGAGGGCCAGGTTCTGTCCGCCCAGCGCGCATTACCGACAGCACCCTTGAAAAACACAGCGTTTTTGCATTTCTCCCTCTTCGCCGCGTCCCCTTTCAGTATGCGCAATAAACCTTGTAAAACACAGTGTTTTGTGTACCTCAGCCGTTGCTGTTGGAGTGTGCCCGACGCCCACGAAATGTCGATTAATCCTGTCCGCGCGGCGCGCATTACCGACACCACCCTTGAAAAACACAGCATTTTTGCATGTCTCCCTCGACGCCGCGTCGCGCTTCAGCACGCGCAAAAAACAATATAACACACAGTGTTTATTGTACTTCACACACACACACACGAAACACTGTAAATTACATGGTGGGAGGTGAACACGGGGTGAACCGGGGGTGGTCGGCGGCAGCGGGTGCCGTTCCCTAAAACTTTGCCCTTCGGGCGCAACACGGGCTGGCCCAGGGCCCGGCGCCCGGATTCCGACACGCAGCATTGCCGAATCTGTCTTCATTACCCATCTCTTACAGGATTTGCGAGAGCAGCGTCTCGACCTTGACGCCGGGCTTACCACGCACCCTTGGCGCAACTTGCGACCCGCCAGATTGAAGCCCACGCGCCAGCTGCGGCAGAAGGCTGCGCCCTATACGGGCACTAAAAGCAAAAACCGACGACCTCGAGCGGGCCCAGGCCAAGCTCCAAGCCCACAGCCTTGACTTCACCCCCCGAAAAGAGCCAAAAGACCGCCCTTCAGCACCATCCGCCCTCTGCGAGGCACCTTCTCACCAGCCACCATCCTTGGCGGACGCGCTGCAACCACCCCATCCATCTCTCAAAGACGATGTCCCAGAAGCGTGGTCTACCAACGCCATCCACACATGGGTCGCCACTTTCGACGAGGCTATCCAAGAATCCGCCAGACAAGCAAGGTCACAACCGACCATCTCCGTGAGGCACCTACCCGGTATGGACTCCCTCTGTCCAAACTCAACCGGGCCACCATCAAGACCCTTCAGAACCTCGTCAGTATTGGAGCAGCTCCTGCCTGTTGAGTGAGCACCATCGGCCAACATTCGCCCGCTTCCACCAACATGCAACGCCTCTTCTTCCACCTTCACCACGCCCTCTCTATTCTCATCCAATGAGCTGCCTAAAATTGAACGCGCTGATGCCATCTGTTCTACCGGTCTCATACACCTCACCCTTCTTTTCGCTTACCCATCCAACACACACCGTTCACAACAATGGCGAAGGCGCTTTCGCCAGCTCCAAATCCTACCCCATGGCCGCCAACCTCGAAGAACCCGGTCGCACAAGGGCTCTGCACAGTATCCACAAGGCATTGCAATACCGGAACCTGACACGACCCCGTGCCAACATTCCCCTTACTGTCCCCTTCTTGGCTCATGATGACTTTACCAAACACACCCAGCAGTGGTTACGCACCACCATCCAACAACGCAAGCGCCTCGCCATTCTTCACCTACCTACTCATCGCCTCCGTCCAAGACTTTACGCGCTCAACTCCACAACCACACGAGATGGGAGGACAGCCTCCATACTCCCCCAGATCCAACCGATCTACCCTGCCATCTCAGCACCCTCTTGCTGGATCCCACCTGCACCACTACAGACGGCCACTACATTCTTACTCTTGACCAGCTGCAACTCCCACCTCACTTGCGCATCTTTCTAGATGCCAACATGAACAGCACATGGCTCCGCGCCCAAGGTTTCCACGCAGAAGATTTTTGAAGTCAAAAGGCCGCCGCGCTTTTCTGCATGCGCCGGCATCGGCACCTTGTGTGTGTCCCCTTCTGTTTCCAAGAGTCTAAACTTTTCCACCGTACCCGCAGGGGGCGACAGAGTCGCTGCATGGCTGTCGCCATCGAAGCTCCATGCAGTTGACTAGGATATCACGGCTGATCACCGTGACGTGCCTGCTGAATTTATCCACGCACTGTGACTCTACTTTTCCTTGTTTGTTTCCATGGTGGTTTTCATGCTACCTTTCCCAAAACCAGGTTTTCCGCTGCGTTTCAGCTGCCGCGAGCCTGCAAACAAGTGAACCATTTGTTAAACTTTTCAAGTGAGCTGACTTCACCACCTTGCGTTTCCCTCATCCGTTTCTACGTGGAACAGAGGTAACTGCAAACCCATTGTCTAAGTCTAAGTGTGTGTGGCCCCCTCCGTATCTAGGAGTTTGGCGGCAACGCGTCGAGTATCTCGTCTTGTTCCACCACGGATTGGTTGGTCTCCTTCGATTTTCTTCTTTACGTTCTGTCCCGTGACTGACGCTGCCAGCTCGAGCTGTAGATCCTTGGATTGGCGTTCGTGGATTTCGCTGCTTGGATGGAGCCGTTAACTCTTGCCCAACTTGCCCACAGCACGGTGCTGAATCAGCACCTCCAGCCCGCAGCTGTGGCAAGCCCACGTCCCTTCAGCAAACATCATCAAACGTCAAACATCCCTTCTTCAGCCGTATCCTTACAAGCTCGGCGATGCTTTGACAGTAGGGAAGATTGCTGCCGGCCCTTCCAAAGAACTAATCAAGCCCTTGAATGGCACAGGTTCCATCCAACGGCCAAGACCATGCAGCGCAAGCGCTTCGTGTGCTAAGGTGAGACCCTGCGGTTCTAGAATTGTTCGGCCTTTGTTTGGGCCAAGCCTTCAGTCAGAAGTAGAAGCCAAATGGATAAACACAAATTTAAATCGTCTCCACGCGGAATTGAAGATACGCCTAAAGGTCAAACCACATCAATGTGATGCCTGCCTGGGTGTCCAAGTAGTGGACATCGTTGAAGTAACCTCAAATAAAGCACCCAAAACCTCACGGCCTACTGAGACAAAGCAAACACTCTGACCAAATCCCTCACAACCTGAGTTCGCTGCCGCTGCCATCCCATCCACCAAATACCCACATCTTGCCACTGGCGTCCATCACTGCTGAGTGGCGCTGACGGGCAGATGGGCTGGTGCCGCTGACGGATGGCGTTGTCCAAATTGGCGTTCCGGCCTGGCAACCCGGCTGATCTGGTGATGATTTGGTGACAACGGAGTTCAGGCCACAGTGGAGTGGCAAGTCAGCTCAAGGAAAGCAATGGGACACAGGAACACTGTGGTAGCAGGTAATGAGTGGGTTGCTCTTTCAAGCTTGGTGACAAGGTCGCGCAGCTTGAAGTTAGTGATGACTTGGCTGAGTTCGCTAGTGGGACAGTTGGCTGATCAGGCAGCCAAGTAATCGCAAACAACTGCTTGAATGGTGGATTAGCCTGTGTGATGAGCTGACATTTAGGTCGCCAAGTAGTAAACAAATGTAAAAAGAAGCTGTGTGGTAAGCGGCGGGATAATGATAAGTTAGCTGAAAAGCGCTACCTGCTAGTTGTTGCGCTATCTTTTATTACTGTATTCAATTATGATCCTTCGCCCCCTGCAAATCTCACATGAAGCAAACCCGAATCCAATCTGGCGCCGTCCTACCACGATCCTTACATTGCGGAGCGCAATGGCCTAGCGTGCCTGCGTTATCTGCCAACCTGTCGCAACTTGCAGCGAACCTCGAACTTTCCAGTGTAATCAACGTAATCGCTTTCCCAACTCTAACCTCATCGATGAAGCCATACCGGAACCTGGATTGGCCGAGCATAGACCAAACAAAACCTTACATGGTCCGCCAATGTCCGCCAGCTACACTGCAAATATACTTTTGGCGGATCGTGAGCATTCTGCTGTTTTGGAACAAACAAACGCATTCCGTGCTCATCTTTGCTTTGTGTGCAATCTCCTGTCTAAGGAGGCAAGCTCAAGCTGCCGCTGTGCCCCAAACCTGGGTGTCCAAAGAATGCACCTCATCAAGGACAGCACCTTGGACAGAAGATCCACAAGACCGTGCTGTGCTGAAATTGTCGCTGAGCCCGCCGCTTCCATCAGTTCCACCAAAGACCCACATTTTTCCGCTAGCATCCATCACCGATGTGTGAGCCTCGCGCGCAGTGGGACTAGTGCCACTGACAGACGGAGTCACCCACGTCGGCGTGCCAGTACCATCCTGGCGGCGTGTGTAAGCAACTGCTTGTAGCGCAAAGTGCACAGTTTATGTAATTGCAACTTGATCTTGCCTGGCAACACATCGATGTGTCTAATTAGACCGTAGTACCCCCTATACACCAAGAAGTATGCCTGCATAAGGAATTTGCAAGTGCATCGTTCATGTGTTGGAGTTTGAGATTCACTTTTATACTATAATTCAGACGTTCCGTTGTTTGCTCACATCCATTTTCTTGCCCCTTGCACCCCTTGCGACCAAAGTATCCCAAACATAAGCACATTATCATTGTATATTATAGAGGCAAGAAAGTCACAAGAACCATTGTATGACAAGCCGAGAGAGTGCTGTATGGAACCTCTAAGTTCTAGACATGCCTGGGTATCCAAATAGTGCACATCGTTCAGGTAGCCGCCTCAACGACTTGTAAAAACTAAACCATCAAATATCGCTGGTAAACCCGCCACTCACTGATGGGTGACAGTGCTACGCGCTACAGTGCTGAGCCAGCTGCTCCCGGACCCCCAACCACCGAAGATCCACAACTTGCCAGCGCTGTCCATCACCTCCACGCGGTCTTTAAGAAACCAACAAATCAACAAATAAACACAGTTAATACCATAGTCGTTAACACTTGTCACCACCTCCACTAATCCAAGTCACGCCCGTGTGTTTGTTGCGGACCGCCGGGCTGGTCCCACCGACAGATGGACCTCCCCATCGTGCACATTCCACCTCACAGGCAACTTCCGAGATGTTCGGAACTTAGAATGCAAACGAACAAACAAATGCACATACATACAAACAAACATAACATACATACATTACATTACATTACATTACATTACATTACATTACATTACATTA